GTGTGTGTGTGTGTGTGTGTGTGTGTGTGTGTGTGTGTGTGTGTGTGTAGATGTATGTGAACCTCATCTCCTGCCACCTTTTTTACCGACCTAAACCTGAACATATGTCCTATACATGATCCCAAGTCTCCAACTCCCTCCTACATACATTACAGAGCCTTTCTTCCCTACTCTCCCAATATCTGTTCCCTTTCAAAACGTCCCCTAGCCTGAACCTAGCTATTCTGCTCCATCTATCTTCGCTCCAACCTTTCTTGAGGTAACCTGGGATGCCTCCACTTTTGATAAATTTATAATCCCCATTACTTCTCGAACCTACGATCCTATCCCATCTCTCCCTTTTCTGTCTTTCGTTTTCTATTTTTATCATATCCTCTCCTCTCATTAAGCCCTCCTCCCATTTCCTCTCTACACTAGATTCAATCTTCTCCCCTCGTAGAAATCTTTTCTCTCTACTTCTAACCTTCCAAGACCTCTTCCTGCCCTTATTCTTTTCCTCATTTCCATTCTGCATTTCCATGGAATTAACCCTCCTCCTCTTTCCTCCACTCTTTTCTCATAACTCCCGGCTCTCATCCCCGCTTTTCCCTCTAGTCTCTCTCTCTCTGTAACTCCTCTCTAACCAAGTAGCCTGCAACTCTTCTAGAGACCCCAAAAACCTATCTTAGGTATCTGTCTTGTATACTCTCCAACTCTTCTCTGGCTTTCCATCCCCAAATTTCTACACCATAACTCAACACTGACCACACCAGCCTGTCGAACAACCAAATCCTTCTAGCCCAATCTCGCCCGAACTTTCTTTTTCCAATCCCCCAAATCTGTCCCAAGATCCTTGCTCCTTTTACCACTCTCTCTCTTTCACATGATCATTCTGGTCCCCATTCGCCCTTATCACATAACCTAGATACGTGTATCTGTCCACCTCCTCCACTTCTTTTCCTTTCCAATTCCACCGAACCTTCTTCTTTCTACCTCCACCTTTTCTACATCTCATAATTTTTGTCTTTCCTACATTAACCTCTAATCTTTTCCTAGCTACATATCTTTCCAAGGTCCTTATCATTCCCCTCATTTCATCTTCATCCTTAGCTAATATGGCAATATCATCTGCGTAGGCCAAAGAGTAAACTTTCTTCCCCCCAAAAAGCTCAACTCCTCCCCATCTCCCTTTCTCCAGCTCCTCATCCAGGTCCGCCATGAAAATCACGATTAGCAGAGGGCTTAGAGGACACCCTTGTCTAACTCCTTTCTCCGTACAGAACTTTTCTCCGAGCTCCTTACCAACTCTAACCCTGCTAGACATTTCCCTTAGCATTTCTTCGCATCTCTTCACTAATCCCTCACTAATCCCTCTTCTCCTCATGGCTTCACACAATCCCTTTCTGTCCACCATATCAAAAGCCGCTTTGAAGCCTACGAATAATATCACCATTTTCCCCCTACACTTGACGATTTCACGATTGATCAGGTAGTTTAAGACGTATATATTATCGATAGTTCCTCTCCCCTCTCTGAATCCTGCCTGTGATTCAGGCAATAGTCCGTTTCCCTCCACCTCCATCTTCAACCTCCTTTCTAGAATTCCAACATAAACCTTATATGTGGTCTGTGTAATTGTTATCCCTCTATAGTCCTCCACCTTATAGTTCCATCTCCTTTTTTCCTTATTGGCACAATCACGCCATTTTTCCAATCCTGTGGCCACTTCTCTCCGTGCCAGATCCGTTGGCAGATCCTCCAAAGTTCTACTAATACTCCTTCCCCTCCGTATTTCCAAACCTCATTCGGAATTCCATCATCTCCCACGGCTTTATAGTCCTTCAACCTTTTCACTACGTCCCTGACTTCTTCTAGACCTATCTCATCATTTTGATAGTAATGACTTCAGTAAAAAAAAATTTTTTTATATGCTGTTTTTGAAAAGTGGGCCGTCATGCCCCAGAAAAAAAAATTTTTAACTTCCCGCTAAAAAAATTGAAAATTTTCAAAAATCGGGAAGTTATTGTTTTTACCCCGTTTTTTGAAAATCGAGTTTTCATCAGATCTCGACGTTTTGAGGTCCTAGGAAGCTTCCCTGACTATTCCCGCGATGGTGTCCGTGCGGCTGTATGCATGTGTGTGTGTGTGTGTGTGTGTATGTATGTAAACCTCTTATATCTTTTGAACGGCTAGGCCGATCGGATCGAAATAGGTGGATTTTCAAAGAGTATCATTGCCATTAAATTTCGTGAAAATTTGAATCGATTCAGTTCGCTAGATTGTGAGAAATCTCAAAAATAAAATTTTCAAAAAATGGTTTTTTTGGAATAAACTTTTGAACGGCTTGACCGATCAATTCCAAAAACTAACACACACACACACACACACACACACACACCGTGACAACCTCGAGATCCTATGACCTTCAAACGTCGAGATCTGATGAAAACTCGATTTTTGCAAAACGGGGTGAAAACAATAACTTCCTGATTTTTGAAAATCTTCGATTTTCTTAACGGGAAGTTAAAAATATATAACAAAAACATCAAAAAAAGATAAAATATAAATTTTATCCAAAAACATAAGAGCTAAAATTTTTTCCAACTTTTGAAGGCAAAAAAGGTAATGAAATCTTCATTTTTTTCTTTCACGACATTTTTTATCATAAATGCGGCGCCGTAAAAACAAGTAGAATTACCAAAAAAAATTAAGGAAACGGTTAACCCTAAAGGCCATCCCTGCAACTTCCAGCTAATTCTATACTTAAACGATCAAAATTACACGTATTACGTCTTCGAGCTCAAAAATATAATTTTCGTGTTATTTTGAGCTCTCCGGGCTAAAACGACTAACGAGTGCATTATTTCAGAGCTCAAAAATCACCAAATAACTGATATGATCGGTTCTTGATAAATGGTGAGTTTTATATCTTACCGCTGTCAATTATTTTAGTATTTTCCACCAGATAACGTGAATTTTTCGGCTTCATAATCTCGTTAATTAAAAATATTTTTTATCTGATTGCAGACGCTAAATTAAAATGTTTTTCTGCCGAGCAATTAATTAGCGCAAAAACTATGGCTTAGGTATGTTACATAAAATAATAATTAGCACCCAACAGATAACTGATCTGATAACAGTTGACTTTATTTATTAATAGTTTCTTCTAAATTCATTTTAATTACATTTTAGCTGATAATCTCCTTTATCCACTCGGCGTAGTAGAACACGCGGGTGTAAACATCTGGGTACCCCTGAGCGCATGGTACTCCGAAGGAAACAATTCCAATCTGGACACCGTCGGCTATCAATGATCCACCCGAGTCGCCCTGAAATTTATCAATTACAATAATTGATTTTACAATAATTAATTTGTTTATTATTAATTACTCACCATGCAAGCGCCTTCGCCTTTCTCTGTCAGGGTGCAAATTTGGCTCTCAGGTACGTCCCCCCAAGTTTTTTGGCACTCAGATTGCTCGTAAATTTTCAAATTTATCTCCTGCAGCTTGTCAGGTAATTTCGCTCCCAATGCGTCCTAAATTTTAAGGTCGATATTAATATATATCAACATCAGCGCTGATGTCAAAAATTGAAACTAAATTTTACGGTTTTTTTTTTGGACGGAAAACTTAAAAAAGCACTCTCTGATGCTTCGCATCATGTCGTGCAATATACTTACACTGGTGTATCCCCACCCGATAAAAACCACAGGGTCTCCGTGAGCGTGGAAATTGTACTCGCTGAGTTTAATCGGCTGAACTTTGTCGCCGGAGAATTCTATTTCAGAGGCAGTGCGAATTAATGCAATGTCATTGATAAATATTGATGGAGAAAAGTCGTGGATGAAAATTTCATCTACTTTGTAAACATTGCCGCCTTTGCTCAGTGAATTTGTTCCAGCGATAATCGTCATGAATGATTTTGGTACACTGAAAATTTATCAATATAATTATAGGTTTCAAATTTAGGATACTGAATTTAAGAGATATCTAACAATTTTTTAGATATTTATATTAGTTAAATTATAATGAAAACAATTTAGGAAAAAAATTCCAGATGTAAAAATTTTGAAACATTTTAAGTGTGAATTTTTTAAAATATTTTTTTTTCATAGCGGGAAATTAAAAATTCTATCAACATTGGCCATTAATTGCATTATTAAACTTAAAAATTACAATTTTTATTTTAAAAAATTAATACGAAAGTAAAAGCACTTATACTAATTAAATCAACTTAATAAATTTACTCAAGAACACAGTGAGCAGCAGTGAGAATGAATCGGTTGCTGATAATAGATCCACCACATGAGTGCCACCCGGATACATTCAATGACACTTGGTACGGATATTTTCCATCCGGCGCGTCCTGACTGCCAACTACCCTCAGAGTTGGCACTCCTTAAATATTCATTTGTTCAATTTCAATTAATTGAACTGTATGCATTTCAAATAAAAAAAAAATAATTTACCATTAACTGCAGCAACGCTCAAAAACAACAGTGCGAACCACATGGTGAACTATTTATCGATAATCGATGACAAGGTATGCGAACTGTGTCTTATATAGCCGAACTTATCTAATTCTTATTTGCTATTGGTCATTCAAATAAAACAGACATTTTGGTTTATCAGTTTATTTCGATTAATTAGATAATTTTAAATATTTTAGGATTGAGGTTGATTGGAAGATAAGCCGAGTGAAGTCTTCTATATCATAAATGATTAGCCATCAATGATTTGTTGTTTATTGAACACGAACGCTTTCATCAAGACATAAGTGAAGGAAGAGTAGGTATCAAGCAAATTGAGATGTCAACATTATGGCAGAGAAAAAGAGAAATATCGAAAGAAAATATTGTATCTAACTCACTCTTTTTTTTTTTTTTATTTATCGATTTATTTGCTTCGATCCCGGAGTAAACTCTTTGGGACCACATTCTTTTATACAAATTTGAAACAATGTTATTAGCTATTCTAATTTAATTTTATAATTTTAACACATTGTTCATCCAGACATTAATCATCGCTCGTACATATTATTAACATACCTACGTATCACATCTGCACATAAAGTCCGAAATTCCACTCCTGATTTAATAGATATAAAGTACATTTTTTTAAATTCGTCAAGTGTAGGCGAAGAAATTATCTCTAAAGGTAGCGAATTCCAAAAATTACAGCCAGTTACAAGAAATGATCGCTGGTATGTCGAACTTCTATAGCAAATGGCATCTTAAGCGTATCTGTTCTCGCTAAATCACGAAGCAATATTTGGCCTTTAATCAAATCTTATTAAATCACGTAAATTTAAATTTAATTCTGTAAATAACATGTTGCAGAATAAAAAATTATTTTTTTTTTAATTTCGAAGTTCAGAACGGTATTAAAATTTATCTTTAAGTATCTTAAAAGTTTTTTAAAAGAAAAAATGAACAATTACTTAGTTCAAGAATTCTTCTTCTTGATTGAAGACAATTAAATTCCTTAAAATTATGTTCTTGATAAAAGATTTTTCTCTTAAATCTAGTTTTTATCGGTGTAAAAAAAATGTTAACAAAATAAAAACTGCAAAATGAGTTAAAAACTATTTCATATTAAATTGATTATTTTGAACAGTGGAATTTAACGATGTAAACATTTTTATTATCTAAATGGTAAATTAGTCTTAAAGTTCATTTTCTCTTCAAAATTAAATAGACCACGCCTACCGCAGCCATAGTTCCAGTCTTATAACAGTATCCATAGTAACCACGTCGTGAATAAAATGCTAAGGATGACTTTCTTCTCTTTATAGATCCAACCCTCATGTTTCTACCCTTCAACAAATAAGACAAAAAGTAGTTGAAAAGAGAGCAGAGATCATCATGGTTTTGTCGTGTGTCAGCATTTTTCGGAGGTTCACGACAGTTTTTTATGAATTTTTTCAAGAAAAAGTATGATGTTACGTAGTTTTATAATATCGTGCTATTATTGAGAATTAATATTTTTTTTTATATTTCATAAAAATTATGCAGTTACAGCTTATTTTAAATTTTATTGCACTATAAAAGTCGTACGTGGGTATGTAAAATAGACTGTGTGTAAATGACGTAAACTAAAACCAAAATTACTGTAGCTTTTTATTGTAAGTTTACAAAATGCTCTATTATGTTGACCAATTATATAATGGTAGATCATAGATAAGACATGACAAGTTTCGTAAATTTTATATTCTTTTATACTTTGCTATGTTAGAATAATTTTCGTTGACTCTTGTTTTATTGCAACATTTGTTATATTTCATAAAAAAAAAAATCTGGAAAACGGTTGACCCTAAAGGCCATCCCTGCAACTTCCCGCTAATTCCATATCTAAACGCTTAAAATTGCACTTATTACGTTTTTGAGCTCTTCGAGCTCAAAAATATAATTTATATGTCATTTCGAGCTCTCCGAGCTCATATAGTTAGCTGTTCTAAGCTTTTGAGCTCTTCAAGCTTAAAAGTCTGATAGAAGTTTGATAAAAAACAGTATTTTTTGAATTTTGAAACTGCAATAATTTCTGAGTGAATTAATCAATTTTCACGCAGTTAGCAGTATTCCACGCAATTTTTCAAAAATTCACTCTTTCCGAATTTTTTCGACAACTCACGAACCAATCAACCAATTTTCACGTTCTTGGAGGCGCTCGACGTGGCTTTTTTAGACTCTAATAATTATTTTATTTCATCAAAAACGATCCAAAAACGAAATGTCGAAGTTATGTGAAAAAAAACACTTCTTTCGAAAGAGGACTTTGACTGGAACTTTTCCTCAACTCTGAAAAGAGCTCTTACGTAATTGAACTAGTTGGCGGCCTTGAGAAAGGCCTTTGGTTGAGATTTACTGCGAGACTGACTGAGCTTTTGTCGAGATGACAGTTATAGCTTAATAGTAGCTAAGCGGTGACTCAAGGTCACTCGCTCTCAAAAGAGAGCTGGTTGTTTAGTTCTAACAAGAACTATTGTTTACTTCTAGAGCTCTTATAAAAGCTGATTTGCTTATATACTGGTCGCGGACAACAAGCTTTGCGCGCTTGTTGTCTAACGAAAAACTTAAGTAAGCCTTGCGCGCTTACAGCTGGAATAACAACGCTCTTGACAGTTGAGATGGTCCGTATCGATGAGATGGTCCGTAGTAAGTAGCTGTACTCGGTTGATGGGAATAAGCAAGCCTTGCTCGCTTGCTTTTCCGTGTTGCACTACGCTTGCAAGCCTTGCGCGCTTGCTGTAGACTATTCGCTAGTCGCTGGAACTGTAGTTGAAGGCACAGGAACGAGTCGAGTGGGGATAGTTACTGTAGCATTACAATATAGCTCTGAGAGCGATATTTTTTTTTCCGTGTGCAATAATTTCTGAGTGAATTAATCAATTTTCACGCGGTTAGCAGTATTCCACGCAATTTTTCAAAAATTCACTCTTTCCGAATTTTTTCGACAACTCACGAACCAATCAACCAATTTTCACGTTCTTGGAGGCGCTCGACGTGGCTTTTTAGACTCTAATAATTATTTTATTTCATCAAAAACGATCCAAAAAGAAATGTCGAAGTTATGTGAAAAAAACACTTCTTTCGAAATTTTTCGTTTTCGATAACTCTCGAACAAATCAACCGATTTTGACGGGACTGGTGGCAACCAACGTGGTTTTTTGAACTGAAGAGCGAATTAGTTTTTGATAGTGATCGGTGAAGCCGTTTTGAAGTTATTCTAAAAAAACGATTTTTTGAAAATTTTATTTTTGAGATTTCTCAACATCTAGCGAACCAAATTGATTCAAATTTTCACAAAATTTAATGGCAATGATACTCTTTGGATCATAACCTATTTCGATCCGATCAGCCGAGCCATTCAAAAGTTATAAGAAGTTTACATATATATACACACACAGCCGCACAGACACCATCGCGGGAATAGTCAGGAAAGCTTCCTGTGACCTTAAAACGTCGAGATCTGATGAAAACTTGATTTTTGCAAAACGGGATAAAACCAATAACTTCCCGATTTTTGAAAATTTTCAATTTTCGTATCGAAAAGTTAAAAATTAAGTAATTGCATTTGTTTCGCTCTATGGAGAAATTTCCATGGATTATTATAATTATTACAACGTGTAAGCCAAAAATTTTTGTTGATTGGCTCGACAACTCAAGTTTAAATTAAAATATATTAATATCACTTGACAGAAGTAGTTATTCTTTCCGTTTTCATTTAGTTACTGAAAAAATGATGATATTGTCAAAAATAATTAAATTGTCGCTAATGCTAGAGGATCCAATCTATCAATTAAATATTCAAGTTTGACGATTTTGATGAAATTATCATAAAATACGAATGAGTTATGATCGGTTATAAGACTTAATTATACTGACATTTTGATATCACAAAGCGAAATTGCAGATTTATGAAAATTTGACTGCAGATTTCTTGAGCAAAAAACAGAAAAAAAATCTGTAAAATGCTTAAGGCCTGCCGGTTATATCTCTGATGCTTTCTACACAGAAAAAAAGGTTCACTTGAGCCAAGAACATATTTTTCTTCCTAATTATTTTTTTGAGTGACAAAAATAGTATATTACACTACAAGGACAGAAAGTTGAGATTCCTGCACTGCGCGCCATGATGCCCGAGGCGAAGCCGATTTTCGAAAACTGAGGTGAAACCAATAACTTCCCGATTTTTTAAAAATCATGGATTTTCATAACGGGAAATTAAAAATATTATATCGATATTGATGCACTGTAAAAAGAGCGGTGTTAAAAATAGACTTATTTTAACACTGCGCGGTGTTAAAAGAAAATAACACCGGCGTAACTTTTCCGGTGTTAAAATACCGGTGTTAAATCGGTGTAAAACGGAGTAATATCGGTATAAAAGAGGAGTAACCATTCTATTTAAAATATCAAGATTAAAATCTATAAAACATAATAAAATTGAGTTTTTAAATTACAAAAAAAAAATAAATAGAAAATATATTAAAATAGTATTCATTACACTGGCCCACAAAAAAAAAGTGGTCTGTACTTTTAACCAGACCTTACTTTATGTATTTTGACGCGCTAAATCCGAATCTGAAGTCAGTTTTGCCCGTATACCCTCAAAATTATGAGTAAAATGAAAAAAAAAAAGCAAAAAATTGCGAAAAACTGCAGTCACAGCGATGAATAAATTTTTGTGAACCCAGATCAAGTATGATTTTCATGTACGTCAATTCACTGAATCTAAATCTAAACGTTAAGTAGCCCCTTGATCCATCAAAGTTTGAAAAAATTGAAAAAAAGGCAAGAAATCATGAAAAATCGAAATTATCGAGATGAAAAAAATTTTTTGGATTCAGATTGAGTATGATTTTTATGTACTTTGTTCCACTGAATTTGAATCTGAAGTTTTCTTGTCCTATTGACGTTTTAAAATAAAAAAAAAAAATTTCAAAAAATAAAAAAAAATCGAGAAAATTGCATTAAATATAAGAAAAAATCTATTAATCACGATTGTTAATGACTCAGGTGC